GGCTCCGGCAGGGGGCGTGGCCAGGGCTGCGATTGGAGGAAACTCGGAGGTGGGCGGGGAGAGGGGCGGGGTGAGGGCGGCCCCAGCGAGGGCGACACCTGGCGGAGCCACGAGGCCGTTCCTATCGTTGGAAAAGGAAGGTTGGGACTCTGGAGGCCTTGTCATTGGATGAAAGAGCTGGCGACGTTGGATTTTAGCTAAATAAATCCTGCCCTGAACAGCACACCATGAGATTGCCCTCCTCTTAATTTATTTTTTCTTTTAATTTTTTTAATTTTGGTAAAAAAAACACGTAACGTAAAATCTACCATCTCAACCGTTTTTAAGAGCTCAGTTCAGAAGTGTTAACTATAATCACATTGTTATGTAAGAGATCTCTAGAATTTTTTCTTCTTGCAAAGCTGAACCTCTATATCCATAGAACAACCTCCCATTTTCCCCTCCCCCCAGCCTCTGGAAACCACCATTCTAATTTCTGTTTCTATGAGTTTGACTACTTCAGATACTTCATATAAGGGCAATCATAAAGTATTTGTCTTTTTGTAACTGATGTATTTCTCTTAGTATAACGTCCTCAAAGTTTATCCATGTTGTAGCATGTGACTGAATTCTCTTCTTCTTTAAGGCTGAATAATATTCCATTCTATGCATATACCATATTTTCTTTATCCATTCATCCCTTGATAGGTATTTGGGCTGCTTCCACCTTTCATCTGTTATGAATAATGTTGCAGTGAACATGAGTATACAAATATCTCTTCAAGATCCTGCTTTCAGTTCTTTTGGATTTATATCCAAAAGTTTGATTACTGAATCATATGGTAATGCTATTTTTTAATTTTTGAAGAACCTCCATACTGGTTTCCATAGCAGCTGCACTATCTTAACATTCCTACCAGCAGTACATAAGGGTTCCAATTTCTCCATATCCTCACCAACATTTGTTATTTTATTTTTTTTATAGTGGCCATCCAAATGGGTGTGAGGTGATACCTCACTGTAGTTTTGATTTGCATTTCTCTAATGATTAGTGATGTTGAGCATCTTTTCCTGTGCTTATTGTTCATTTGTATATCTACTTTGGAGAAATGTCTATTCAAGTTCATTGCCCATTTTTTAATCAGATTATTTGTTATGTTGGTGTTGAGTTGTAGGAGTTATTTATATATTCTGGATATCAACCGCTTATCAGATATATGATTTGCAAATATTTTCTCCCATTCTGTAGGTTGCCTTTTCACTCTTTCACTGATTGAAAAATTCAATGATTGTTTCCTTTCCTCTTCACTCTTTTAAATGTATTTATCCACCACCTGCAGTATGCCCAGACCCCTCTGCTGCGGGATTCCAAGCAGAAGCAGAAATCTTGGACCAACCTTTTTCTGCTTGTTTCTAACTGAACAGGTGCTCCAGACTCAGCCACCCGGATTAAATCCAGTCCCAAATCGCTCATGGAGTAGCTGTGACTTTGGGCAGATCAATCTCTGAACCTCAATTTCCCCCTCTGTAAAATCAGGGTAACAGTATTTCACAGGATTGTCTTAAGGGATAAAAGAAGACGACGATTAAACAGTAATCACAAACCTCCCCAAAAATAAAAGTCCAGGACCAGATGGCTTCCCTGGTGAATTCTACCAAACATTCAAAGAAGACTTAATACCTATCCT